ATGCTTGTGAATTCAGTTCTATTTTGCGATTATAATTAGAAATCGATCTTTAGACGTAAACGTTGATGTTCTGGTGACATTTAACACGAGCATTTCGCTATTGGATAATTGCAATTAAGGATTCTACTTCTAGCTTCTTAGAAGTTTAGGTTGGTTTGGACTATCAACATTGACAAAATAGGCGACATTTGAACCAAATTTGATAAAATTCTAGATTTATCCCCAGTATTGAAACTTGATATTTATGCGAATTGACCTCAATCGCTATTGGAAAATAGTTAGAATTTGATGCATTTTTCTCAAATGCTCCATATCAGTGACATCATTTTCTTTGGATGTTGATGGGATTAGAGTAATGCAGAATATGTTCGTTTTCCACAACCATGGATGAATCAAATTATCACTTGCAATAAGTACAACAAATCTTGATTGTTGACAGGGGTTAGGGAATAATACAGGTGACTATGAGAAATTAGCTTTGACCTTACAAGGATATGGTGTTTCAACTGTGGTTGCCAATGTTTCAAGAATCGATTGGCTGAGAAATGCTGCTGGTTTGGTTGACCCTAATTACTGGCGAGGCACACTCCAACCTCGCCCTGTTCTCGATTGGTACTTTGTTTTCACATGATCTTTTAAGCTCTTTCGAGACCCTTAAAGCACTTTTGTTACAGTTTTTGTTACAAAAGACATGACAAATTGACAATACAGTTTTTGGCTTGTATTGGACTGAGACTGATGTCAACATGAAAGATGTGAATACTCTACTTACCCTCATTATCAAAAATAGCACTAGAAAGTTGTTGAGTCTCATCCAGTCATATAAAATGATGTCATGTGTAACAAACACAGCCTAATGTGTCAATCTCACTAAAGCTAAATGTATTTTGGGCAGGTATTTAAATAGGGTTGATGAGGCTGTCAATGAAGCTTTGAAACAATCTCAAGGTCTGGAGTTTTTCTTTTTAACTTTGATTCAAGTGATCTTTAACATTCCAATTTGATGTATCATTGGGCCAACAAGACTTATTGGGCCTGAGTTTGGTATGGTATTATATCTTTTTTATAAAATAGACATTATTAGTCGAGCACATTACAAAATTTATATAGCTTATTAATCTACTATAACTTGCTACTTTTAAAATGTATAAACTATTAAACTTTATAAATTTACTGATTGAAAATTAAAAAAAAAAAAATGAAATACAACAGTTATAGAAAATAATAAAGATTTACCGTTTATATTTTACCATTAGAAATATACAAATGGAATATGTAAAACGAAACTACAAAAATTATAAAAGTGATAAAAACTGCATTGTTTGTTTGGTTTTTGTAATTACAAACAAATTTACAAAATTCACAAAGGGAATTACAAGATGCAAAGTTGCAACAATATAAAAATCATAAGAATAAAACCAAATAAACTTACATGAAATCAAGAATTACAAAAACTACAAACCAAATTACAATAGACAAAAAATGGAAAAAAGGTCCATAATTTTTGCCCCATTGACATCAGTCGAACTCCCAGTGTATTAGTCCAATGCACATATGAAAGATTAATAGCAACTCCATGTCCCACAGACACTCCCACCTTTTTGAGGTGAGAGAAATAGTTCAACAATTTTTGCCCCATTGACATCAGTCTCACTTCCAGTCCAATGCATGCCAAACACAGTACAACCAATTTGTCTTTTTCTGTCAATTTAATCATTTTCTTCATGCACATTTTAATAGAATAATAAGATCTACTACTGTAGGTGGTTCGTTGTCGATTATTGGACACTCTGCAGGAGGGTGGTTAGCTCGGGTATACATGGAAGAATTCACCAATGCAAATATTTCATTGCTTCTCACTCTTGGATCACCTCTTCAGTATGTATTACCGAATAAAACTTGCTTCAAAGACTAAAAATATAAATATTTTAAACCTTTGTTTTTTTTTTTATATGTTAATTTTAGGCCACCACCAAAAGGGTTGCCAGGAGTTATTGATCAAACAAGGGGTCTTTTGGATTATGTGGAGAAAAACTGCAAGAAAGCTGTTTATACTCCAGAATTGAGATATGTTTGTATCGCAGGCAGGTATACTAAAATACATAAACTAGGGATTTTTTTTTCATTGATTTGTTTATTATAGCATCATGCTTTCACTTTTTCCTATTATAGCATTGTACTTTGAAAAATCTACCCAAGTATAGAAATGTCATCTAAACTCAAAGAAAATTACATTTTTGTAATTGAGAAGAAATTTCAAAGTACAATATCTTAGGTAAATCTACAAAAAAGTCCCTGATGTTTGGCTTTATTAACGCAAAAGCCATCCCTGATTTTTTTCTTTTGCAATTAAGCCCAAAAAACTTAAAAACCAGTTAATATTTGCATTTCTGATTGTTTATTTACAATTTGGCCCTGAAAACCGGCATTAACCGGGTACAAGGGTTATTTTGCATGTGTTTACCAGGTTTTTGGGCTTAATTGCAAAAAAAAAAAAAAAAAAGGGATGACTTTTGCATTAATAGAACCAAAGTTTAGGGACTTTTTTTGCAGATTTCCCTGATATCTTAATAAGAAAAAGTCAAAAGTACAAGGCTATAATTAGGTTCATTTTTAAAAACACAGTGCGAAAATTAAAAGTACAATGTTGTAATAAAAAGAAATGATGGTAGGATGCTATAAAAAGTTGAAAACAAATAAATGAAAGTACGTTGCTATTTCTTTCATTTAGCTCATTTAGATAATTTACATTACTGATCAAACATTTGGTAGCTTTGTAGATATATTCAGGGAAGTCGTTTCTTTGGTAACTCAAATTCTCCAACAACTATCCCTCTAGCAATTGAGCAATCAGAGGTTGCTATTGGAAGTGATCCAAGCACCTTAACACCAACTGATGCTACATTTCGCACTCGCTTTGTTGGTCAAGGATACAAACAGGTATATACTTTTACTATGAGGGTATTTTGGTCTTTTAATAAAAAAACAAAAGAATGGAATTGAATTCCTTCCATGATTCCATCCTCTCCTACGAATGGTACAGAATATGATCGATTCCATGAAAATTGAGTTTTATTCATTTGGATGGCAAGCACACAATGAACATCGGAATGGAATCATGGATTCCGATTCCGTCGGAATCAACAAACGAAACACATATTTCTTTGCTTTAGGTGTAACGGTAGTATAATAATATATCAATTTTAAGAGGGTATTTTGGTCTTTTAATTAAAAAAGGAAGAATGAACCTACTGTTGGTGGACGTATTGAATCGGCAACCAAACGCGTCATGGGAATGGAATTGAATCCTAATCCCATTGCAATATGAATAAATAATTTTTACTAGGTAGACTAATTAGTCTTTTTAATACCATCCTCTCCTACGAACAGCGGAATCCATCAAACATGGAATATGAAAGATTCCAACAAAATTAAGTCCTGTTCATTTAGAAGCCCAACACGCAATGGAACACCGGAATGGAATCACGGATTCTGATTCCGCCGGAATCAACAAACGAAACACACATTTCTTTGATTTAGGTGTAACGGTGGTTCTTGTTTTTCATAGGTATGTGGGCAGGCAGATGTATGGGGTGATGGGGTGGTCCCGGAAGTATCGGCTCATCTTGAGGGTGCGTTAAACATTAGTTTGGATGGAGTCTACCACTCGCCTGTTGGCTCAGATGATGAATCAAGACCATGGTATGGCTCACCAGCTGTTGTTGACCAATGGGTACACCACCTACTTAACTAGTTGTGTATATATAATGTTCATATTATTTTTATGAGAATTTGTCATATTGTAAATCCTATTACATCATTTACCACAAGTTTTAGATTTATACTTGTTAGAGTTCACTCAATTTGTTATGTATATGTACTTTTTTTTGTTAACAAGTCATTTTGAGATGGAAAATAAGATATACTACTTTAATGATAATGTTGAACTACAAAGACATTTGGTGGATGTTTGATAAAACTTATTTTGAATAGACTTTAGACAAGACTGTTTGATAATGTTTGATAAAATCAAACCATTTAGTGATGAATGATTCCAATCTCTTAAGAGAATGCGGGGTTCCTCAACCCTTCATAGGCTTTTGATTTCTGGTTGTTTAGAGGCTTTGGCAAACGTGTTGAATGCAGACCGAGATTCAAATCGTTCCATTTAAAAGGCTGTCAAATAGCCCCATAGATTAGTTGGAATTTCTTTTATTATGTTTCTTTTGAAGCTTTTATAACTCTATTAGTTTAGTTTATTTTTATAACTATTAAGTATTTTGTTTGTAATTTATAATAATATATAATTAAATATAGACGCTATGTTTTTGCATAGTTTATGGGATTTATAAGTTTATAATGTAATTTTTTTTTTTTTTAATTTGTGTACTAATACTTCTTGATAAATAATGTTTAAAAATCATAATGTTCGCAAATTAAGTCTATTTTCATAAAGATTGGATATGCAAACCGACAAACCATTCAACATGTCCAGGATCCGGATCCGTTTATTGACCCAACATTTTGTACACCAAAGGCCCCATTATAAACACTCATGAGTCACGAGTCTCATGACATAAACAATTAATGATCAATGGGTAAAAAGTAAAAACCTAGCCAATTGTGGGCATCTTTTTAGATCAAAAGCCACTATAAAACATATGTTTGTGTACGTAAAATTATTGTCCTACATTGGCTTTAAAATAAAAACCTCATATTTTGGATGGGACAAAAATGCACCCAGAAATTTCACTGCCCTAATTCACCCCAACCAAAAAAATATACTGAAAGTGGAAAAAAGTACAACTATCACTGCACCATTTACAACTAGTGCTAGGAGCAAGAAAATAGCATTCAACAAGACATGTTTTCTCAACACCCTACACCACTTTCCCAGAGAAACATAGAAATGAGCATCAATTTGCATACAAAATAAACTCTGGAAGCTTCAGTGCACTCCTAAATTCAAAAGAAAATATGAACTTCAAGTGTGTCATGTTCTAACTAGTCTTGACAAAATGAGGAGCAAGCAATTTGGCAATCTCTAGAAACCCAACTCTGTCTCTCCCATCAAATATTGTCTTGAGCTTTTCATCACAAATTATCTCTCGCTTGTTTTCTGGATTCTGCACACAAAAATTCCCCATCTTAGAACACAACAATAGGCAATATATTTTACGTTGTGTAATGAGTCACTTTTATCACTAATTCACAGATGGTTTTGATTCTAATCCACTAACCACAAGGTCCTCGATTGCATAATCAGGTTATAAAGTAAAACCTAGCAAAAATTTCAGGTGTATTCTCTCATTTTCTTCATGATCACAATCTTAGGGTTTAACACTATCATATTTAGAAACCAAAATCGGTTAACTTTGCTGGATTCAAGTCATACAACCAATATAAGTAGAACACATGATTGACAGCAATCAGAACTAGTTCACTTGGCTTTCAAACAACTAGGTGACTCTAATTTCCCCAAACTCATTTCGATTAAAATGCGTAAGAAGCGAAAACCTAAAACAGATTTCAAAGTTACTAGTATATTTGTTGATGTTGAACACGTAAAGATAAACGCATTTACCAAACAAATTGGGCGAAGAAATGTGAAAGTCGAAAAAAAATGAATTAATTACTCGCCTGAAGCTCATGGAGCTTGATGTGCTGCCAAATCTTCTTAACGGCGTCGGTGCGAGGGGATTCAGAGACACCGAGGAACTGAGCTAGGGCTGGAGAAATCGGAGTTGGTTTCAAAATGCCAACAGGTTTCAACGATTTTTCAGCAGAAGCTGGCTTCGGTTTCTTCGCTGGTTTCTCTGTTGGTTTTTTGACGGTTGTTTTCTTCTTTGCAGCGGTGGTGGTGGTAGCGGCAGCGGTGGCCGTGGATTTGGGAGTGGCGGACTTTGCTGCAGCGAATAGCGATCTGCAGCCGTTGAAAACCCTAGCACCCGAGGCCATTGCAGTGGATGGTTCGAGTGTTGTGTGTTGGCGAATGGCGACGGAAATATAGCAGGGCAAGACAATACTTTGAGAGGGCGATGAAATGGTTTAAGGGATATTAGTGCGACTTGAGGTCACATAGGGTTACTCGATCAGTGACACGTGGCAACAACCAATTTTTAACGTTTCAATTTTAATAAAAAACAAACAAATAAAAAAACATATGAGAAATTGAAATCTAACAACTTTTTTTGGGTTTTTTCCCCCTTAAATATACCTTTTTTTTTTTTTTTGCATAATAACCACATAATCCGGAATTGGTCGTTCCGGAACAAATTCCAAATTATTTTTCGGGTGGCCTTACCCATTTCATTGGATCCGGAATACATATTCCGGATGAACCACATGTGTTCTGGATCGGGATTTTGAATTTCAAAATCCAGCATATAATTTGAGGCGGCATTCCGAAAAGACGCATTCTAATTCCGAAGTTCCGACTAGATTACGACATTCCGACTCGATTCCGACACGCAACTTCCATCTTCGACACGTATCAACACCCATCTTCGACATAGAAGACGAGCACTACGTGTAACGCTCTAAAAATTTCAACCAATTTAAACTTTTCAAAAACAACTCACATTCATTAAGTTATTACAAAAAGGTTTTCAATACTTTTATTATCAGAGTATTCCCCAGAACCAAATCATAAAATATAAACATGAGGAGCAGTACGATCACGCCTTTGCCTTGCCACGGTCTCTTGAAGTACCTGAAACATTAAACCACAACTGTAAGCCCGAAAGCTTAGTGAGATACTCCCAAAATACCAACCACAATACCATACACGCATAATATCATAACCAGAACAGAACAACCATGCACTTCGGGTCTACTGTGTGACTGGTCCGCCGCACCGGCCTACAGTCTACCTGGTCCACCCTCCGAGTCTAGCATATACATCGAGTCTACAGTGTGATTGGTCCGCCCGCACCAGGCCTTCAATCCACCTGGTCCACTCTCTGAGTCTACAGTATGACTGGTCCGCCCGCACCGGGCCTTCAGTCGGCCTGGTCCACTCTCCGAGCCTCGGCACGTCTGGTCCGCCCTCTCAGGGCCTTCATCCTATCTGGACTGCTCGCTGGGCCTTCGAAATATCTGGTCCGCCCTAGGTATGTTCGCCTACAACACGAAGCAGGATCCGCCTCAACCCAACCCCGGTCCAACAACCATGTGCACATAAACATATAATCATATAACAATCCTCAACCAGACAAACAGTCTAACAGATCACATAGCATATCAATGTCCTAACCAGGATTCCGACCTAACCGGTCACTAGCATACGATTACCCTATATCCCGGGTACCGACCTTAACTAGGTCTCTAACACATACCATCCTAACTACCAGGATGCAAACATAGCAAAGCAATATCATAACAACAACTACCCGGATTTCCATCCGATAAAGGGTCGGCGTTGGTGTCGTAGACCCTGTCAGTATAGTGAGGATAACTCACCTCGCAACTGCTGACTGAAGAGATAAGATCACGCTGCTCCAACCTCCGACACGACTCCACCACTGATCAATACCAAAAGACTGAACTCAATAAATACCAATAATTACCAAAATACCCTTGGAAGTCAACTAGTCAACTTTGATGGGTTTGAGCCATAAGAACTTTCCTATGTGCACATGCAAACCCTAATTGCTTGGATCTAGGTTTCTCTAATTGAACATGCATTCTATCCAAGACTTTTAATACTAGATCTAATGTAAAAAATTGATTCTAATCATATGAATTAGGATCTAGAACAACACCTTGGGATAGTTGCTTGATACTTCTTCTTCTTGGAGCTTAGAGCCACAGTTGTCACTCCTCTAATGGCTTACAAACACCAACTAGCAAGAAGATGATTTGAGGAAGAGAGAGAGAGGAGAGAAATCTGCTCTAGGGTTTCTTGCCTTGCATGAGTGCCGATTTCCCTCACCCTAGGGATCTATTTATACTATGGGATACTAGGGTTTCACCTTTAACCCTAATTGAATAACTTAGGCCCTAAGCAATCCAAGATCCTTCTAGATTTTAGGCTTGGACGAATTTAAGGTTCCCAAACCCTAAATTTCGTCCACCCCATTATCTATAAGGATACATAGCCCAAAAACACAAGTATCACACATTTGACAGTTTATTCCCCTTTATTCAATTAACCTCTTTAAGTCACCAAATTAATTCTTAATTAATATATGACTTATATTAATAAAATATTATTAATCCTTTAATATATTATTCTTATAATATATTAACAATAATATTTCTTCTCTCTTAACAAATCATCCTGTCAAGTTGCTATGGTGAAGGCAACCCAAAAGGACCATGCACAACCGGGTCAAGTACTTACCAAATATAGTTACAACCTTAGACACTAATCCAACAGTCTCCCACTTGGATAAGTCTAGTAACTATATATGCAAACACAAACCGATTAGCAATCGTAGCTCTCAAAGATGATGTCAACTCTGATCTTATCAATATCCTGTCCTTTAGATAAGGGATTGTACAGTCCTCTGTTTAGATATTATGCTAACAATCTTATGGAACTTATTGTCCAACATTTGGTTTCTCGATCTCAGATTTATTTGACTTAGAACTTAATTGAACACATCAATTCAGTCCTGACCGGGCCCGGCACATAAGTCAAATCAAATCATCGAGCGGCTGTGATATCGCTTTTATCCTCTCAGGATGAAAGTAACAGATAAACTTCGACTTATATGCATTCACTATTTACTAATCAACTATACACAACAATGTGGTTTATGACATCAATTTACTGATGCGGTTTCGCATTGTCAATGCACAACCAATTAATAAACAATAAACCATATATCTTGGTTTTAAGACCATATGATATTATCGTCTTGCGATCACTTGTGTCACATTCCAAAAAATGATTCCAACAAGCGCGGGTTTATTCCAATGCTCAAAACTTGTTCATAAGTACTCATGAACGTTGTAGCAAACCTTTGCTATGTCTAATACTCTTTTATACAATCTACACACCAATTCATGACAATCTTCATTCATACCTACTTCCAACATATGAACGATTGTGGACTATTCGAATAATTCGATTATTCTTAATAACTTAATTATTCAGGAAGTCAAAACATGCAAAGTGAAACAATAGTTAAACAATTAACATAAGACAATACCTTTACTTATAAATAATACTCTTTTATTTTATCATCAAATGTCAATTACATTTATCTATTACATGTTTCAAAACTATCTAATCTAAACTAATATCGTCTTGCAACCCAATGCTCCTAGCGTGCTGCAAATGCTTAACCCTACTCAGTCCCTTCGTAAGCGGATCTGCTGGGTTATCCTCTGACGATACCCTCTTTACTACGAGGTGTCCTTCTTCTACTTGATGTCTAATAAAATGATATTTTCTATCGATATGTCGAGATCTACCATGATCCCTCGGTTCCTTGATCAAGGCAACCGCTCCTTCATTATCACAAAAAATTTCCATAGGCTCTTTTATAGCAGGCACAACTCCAAGGTCACCGATGAAGTTCTTCAACCACATCGCCTCCTTTGATGCTTCTCTCACTGCAATGTACTCTGATTCGCACGTTGAATCAGCTACGGTCTCTTGTTTGGAACTTTTCCAAGTCACTACTCCTCCATTAAGGGTAAAGACCTAGCCCGACTGTGAACGGTAGTTGTCCCTGTCGGTCTGGAAGCTGGCATCACTATACCCTTGCACCTTTAAGTGATCACTCCCTCCGAGGACTAAGAACCATTCCTTGGTCCTCCGAAGGTACTTAAGTATATTCTTGACTGCAATCCAATGAGCTCTGCCAGGGTTCCCTTGATATCTACTGACCATGCTCAAAGCAAAGGCCACATCAGGGCGAGTACAAGTCATAACGTACATGATTGAGCCAACTGCGTAAGCGTAGGGTACTCGGATCATCTCAGCTATCTCGGCTTCAGTACTTGGACTTTGAGTCTTACTCAACTTGGCATTACTTTGTATCGGTAGTTCTCCCTTCTTCGAGTTTTCCATACTAAAACAATTTAGTACTTTATCTAAGTAAGTATTCTGACTAAGTCCTATTAGTCTCTTACTTCTTTCTCTCATTATCCTTATTCCCAAAATATAGGAAGCCTCTCCGAGTTCCTTCATAGCGAAGCACTTCCCGAGCCAGGATTTAACCTCCTACAAGGTCGGGACGTCGTTTCCTATGAGTATTATGTCATCGACATACAAAACGAGGAAGCTAACTATATTACCACTGGCCTTGACATATACACATGATTCATCTTCACTTCGTACAAATCCAAACTCTTTGACTTTCTCATCGAAGTAGATGGACTTCTCAAGCTTGCACACTCTATTAGGATGCTTCAGATCGACAAAACCCTCTGGCTGAGCCATGAAAACATCCTTAGCCAACTTTCCATTAAGGAAAGCGGTCTTGACATCCATCTGCCATATCTCATAATCATGAAATGCAGCAATGGCTAGCATCACCCTAATTGATTTTATCTTAGCAACTGGTGAGAAGGTCTCATCATAGTCAACTCCGGGAGTTTGAGTAAAGCCCTTTGCCACTAGTCGTGCCTTATACGTGCGCACATTCCCATCCACGTCGGTCTTCTTCTTGAAGATCCATTTGCACCCAACCGTCTTACGTCCGGGCACATTGTCAACCAAATTCCAAACTTGGTTGTCATACATGGACTGAATCTCGTTGTCCATCGTCTCTTTCCATTTTACAGACTCTGGGCATGCCATGGCTTCCTTATAGTTGTTAGGTTCATCTAGATTTATTAGTGTACCATCACTAATATACGTATCCCCTTCAGTAGTAATATGAAAACCATAGAACTAGGGTTGAACTCTAACTCTTTTGGAACGTCTAAGAGGTAAGGACTCGTCAATCGGTTCAACCGGAGTTTCCTCCTCGGGTTGAGCGCCAGCGTTAGAGGTTTCTTCA